CAGACCAATTACAAGCAGCGAAATTGAAACGGTAATCAAAAACCTCCCCAAAAACAAAAGCCCAGGATCTGATGGATTTACAAATGAATTCTACCAAACATTCAGAGACGAATTAGTGCCTATCCTTCACAAACTCTTCCAAAAAATTGAGAAGGAAGGGACAATACCAAACACGTTCTATGAAGCCAATATTACACTAATACCAAAACCGAATAAGGACAACACAAAAAAGGAAAACTATAGGCCAATCTCCCTAATGAACACTGATGCAAAAATCCTCAATAAAATTTTAGCTATCAGAATCCAACAATGTATCCATAAGATAATTCACCATGACCAAGTTGGATTCATTCCAGGGGCACAAGGATGGTTTAACATCCGAAAATCAATCAACGTTATCCAACACATCAACAAAACGAAATATAAAAACCATATGATAGTATCAATAGATGCTGAGAAAGCTTTCGACAAAGTGCAACACCCATTCATGATAAAAGCCCTTGAAATTCTTGGGATACAAGGAACATACCTCAACATCATAAAGGCCATCTATGACAAGCCAACAGCCAGTATCATTCTCAATGGTGAAAAGCTGAAAGCAATTCCATTAAGATCTGGAACAAGACAAGGATGTCCACTCTCACCACTGCTTTTCAATATAATACTGGAAGTCCTAGCCAGAGCAATAAGACAAGAGAAAGACATCCAAGGAATCCAAATAGGAAAAGAAGAAGTCAAACTATCACTATTTGCAGATGATATGATAATATACATAGAGAACCCCAAAATCTCCACAGAAAAACTAATTCAACTCATCAATCAATTCAGTAAAGTGGCAGGATACAAAATCAACACGCAAAAGTCAGTGGCCTTCCTATACACAAACAATAAATCTGAAGAAGAAGAAATCAAAAAAACCACCCCTTTTATTATCGAAACAAAAAAAATCAAATATTTGGGAATAAATCTAACAAAAGAGGTAAAGGACCTATACAAAGAAAACTATAAACACTGTTAAAAGAAATAGAAGAAGACACAAAGAAATGGAAAGACATCCCCTGCTCATGGATTGGAAGAATAAACATTATTAAAATGGCCATCCTACCAAAAGCAATATACAGATTCAATGCTATTCCAATCAAAATCTCAATGGCATTCTTCAAAGAAATAGAACAATTATTGATGAAATTCATATGGAATCACCAAAAACCCCGAATAGCCAAAGCTCTACTGAAAAAAAAAGAAGGAAATGGAGGCATCACACTCCCAGACTTCAAACTATACTACAAAGCCATAATCATCAAAACTGCATGGTATTGGAACAAGAACAGACATACAGACCAATGGAATCGAATAGAAAATCCAGAAATAAACCCACAGATTTATGGTCAACTAATCTTTGACAAAGGAGCAAAGACTATGCATTGGAGCAAAGAAAGTTTGTTCAATAAATGGTGCTGGGAAAACTGGGTCGCTACATGCAAAAGAATGAAGCTTGACCACTACCTCACACCATACACAAAATCAACTCAAAATGGATTAAAGAACTAGACATAAGACCTGAAACCATAAAATACATAGAAGGAAATATAGGCGAAACACTACTTGATATTCACATCAAAGACATCTTTACAGACACATCACCCAAAGCAGTGATAGTGAAGACAAAGATAAACAGCTGGGACTACATCAAATTAAAGAGCTTCTGCACAGCAAAAGAGACAATAACAAAAACAAAGAGAAACCCCACCAACTGGGAGAACATTTTTGCACCCAACACTAATGATAAAGGACTGATCACAAAAATCTGCAAAGAGCTGATGAGACTCAGCAACAACAAAGAAAATAATCCAGTCAAAAAATGGGCAGAAGAGCTAAAAAGAAACTTCTCTGAAGAGGAAATGCAAATGGCCAACAGGCATATGAAAAAATGTTCAACATCACTTGTAATCAGGGAAATGCAAATCAAAACTACCATGAGATACCATCTCACACCAGTGAGAATGGCACATATTAAAAAAACTAGCAACAACAAATGTTGGCGAGGATGTGGAGAAAAAGGAACTCTTCTGCACTGTTGGTGGGAGTGCAAACTGGTCCAACCACTATGGAGAGCTGTGTGGAGATTTCTTGACCTACTAAACATAGAGCTTCCATATGATCCAGCAATTCCACTCCTAGGTATTTACCCAAAGGACACAGAAACATCAATTCCAAAGAGCACCTGCACCCCTATGTTTATAGCAGCAATGTTTACAATAGCTAAGCTTTGGAAACAACCCAAATGCCCAAAAATAGATGACTGGATCAAGAAGATGTGGTACATATATACCATGGAATATTACTCAGCATTCAAAAAAGATAAACACATGCAATTTGCAGCAACATGGATGGTGCTGGAAGGGATCATGCTCAGCGAAATAAGCCAAAAAGAAAAAGAAAATACCGGATGGTCTCACTCATAGCAGGAATCTAGAAAACTTAAATAAGGGACCAGGAAAATGAATATAAGAAAGTGAAAATCAAAATCAACAAAAAACTATGAACCAGAGACACTTTTTGGGGGGTGGGGGGCGGGAGGGGAAGGATTGGGGTCAGAATGGGGCGTTTGCAATTGTATGGGGGAATATAAAAATAAAATTTAATATTAAAAAAAAATAAATGATTATGCTGATACAATAAATGCTTTAACTTATACTGATAAATACTATTGTGCTTTTTTCTTTCTAATGGAAATAGAGCTACTGCTACTTCTGTTTGAGGAACATCCTGAGATTGTATGATAAACTGTTAAAGAAACTATTTATAACCACTAATCTACATGATTAGATTAGATTTTAACATTACAATCAAAAGAAAAAATATAAAATGAACCTTCATTCTTAACATTCTAACATTAATTTCATTGACTGACTTTGAGCAAATGTTATAAATCTGAACTGAATTATTCCATAGTAGTGAAATCGCCATGATAAAGAAGAATTCATCTGTAACAACTTTAACATTTAAGCTCTGCTTAAGTACCTTATATAATGAGGGGTTCACTCATTGCTAGTATCTATTTTTAATACATGCCTGAAACAGTTAAAAATTCTTTGCTACACAGATTCTAAATTTGCTTCCCTATACTTTTTCAATTATAAATTGAATTTTTCAAATATAAATTTTGCTGCTCCAAAATTTACCAATAAAGTGTCATAAATTATTTGCTATATCAGGCTTTCAAATATTTGGTGAGTTATTACTCATCTCACTTGATCTTTTCTAGGCATCCCCAGTTTATTCTACCACGTTCCTCAAATCTCATATAATATCCTGGGAAGTATGTACTTAATAAATCACTGTTAGCTAATACAACACTACTGCAACTCTGAAAGTATTAAAACAAACAAACAAACAAACAAAACACTTTGATGGAAATAAATGGAATGTAAATAAAATCAATATTGCCATCTCTATAAACAAGACTATTTTAATTTTACCACTGAAATTACTCATTGTGCCAGTCCTGCTTCTGGTTAAATCTAAATTGTGATGGCCTTGATTTGCTATGTTTTTCATCTCTCCAGTGACAAAGAGCAATCATTTCCAGGGACAAAGAGTTCAGGGCAGGGCTATAAAAAATGAAAACTAAACAGAAGAAATTATTGCAGAGAAAGTACATGAAAAATAGTAACAGAGTATATTTTCCCTGATCTTAAGACTCTTAAGCACAATTTAAAGGTGGTATATGTCAATAAAAACATAATCAGATATATCATTTTTCTTCCCACCACAATCTTTTACTTCCCTTTATATCATTTCCCTCTCCCCTTGCTCTTAACCTCAGAACCCCAACAGTATTTACTGATGCCCACTGATTTTTGAAAGATATCACATTTGTTTAGTGATTACTTTGGGGAAAAAAGTAACTTTTTTAACACCAATACTTGTAGTACTTTAATATGTTTTATTAACTAGAGCACTGTGTAACTTTTATTAACACTTCTATTTCTAAATTACTAAATAATATTGCTATATTCCACATTCTTCAGCGACAACAGCTTATCTACCTACAATTTCCTATGAGTTGTTTAAAGACTTGCCTAATTTTATTTATTTTTAAAAATTTATTTATTTATGTATAGAAGAACTGGGGCGTAGATCAGAGGTGTGGGGGGTAATAAGAGGAGTCACCAGAGTGAGTAGGGAGCAGAACAGGCAGATCTACTGAAATACACTGCTAAAGGGAGCGGTAGGGGAGACAGAAGAGGTCCGCAGCACCATATGTTAGCATCCTGGCCTGGGATCAACTCAGGCTGCAGTGGTGATAACTTGATAATGCCAAGACTTAACCCCTACACTACCAGGGAGGCCCTAATTTTAGCAATAGAAATCAAAATTGCCAACAGCCACATAAATATAGGCAGCTTTTAAATGAACACACATTACACTGAGATTACTAGGAAACTCCTGTTTAAGTTTTAACTCCTTTTTAAATTTTAAATATAAACAGTTTATATTTTAACATCAAACCAAACTCACATTGACAATTTCAACATGCAATAAATTGTTTCCCTTTAATCTTCAAAAAATTAAGAAAGTAGCATTCTTTCTGGATTATTTACTTTCATGGTTCTAGTCAACAATAATCCTCATAAATAACAATACTTTCTAAGTACTAGTGAGAAGTCCAAACATTTGATCTTGTGCCCTAGAATATTCTTAAGGGAAATCTTTTTCAAAACTTAATTTTCACTCAAGTAACAAAATAAGAAGCAAGTTAAAAACACTGATTAAATGTTTACTGACTTATAAATAAAAACATGTTTAATGGTCACAATTATAATATTTCAATGTACCCTTAAGCCAAAACAAGGCAAGGCAGCATAACTATTCTACTATTGCACAAAAAAATTTTTAACTCAGAAAACAGTCCTAGCAAAACTGACTTAATAGCTCATTTCAAAGGGAGGTAAAATAAGAAGATGACATTGATGTTATACAGAGCATTTACTTACTCCTACAGTCACCTTCTGGTTCCTCTAATCCAGTTTGTCTGGTGTCTTTATTAATTTCATCTGGTGCCTGGGATGCCTTCCAAGTGTCAGGTGTTCCAATGACATCATCAGTGGTTGTTTCCAATATATCTGGATTATCTAGCAAATTGCTATTTAGAGGTAAGCTGTGAAGGTAACAAAACTTACTTAGACCAAGAAATTTATCATGAAAATAATTTAAAATAATAGCAAAAACCTGTTTGAAAAAAGAAATTCAGGTTTTGTATCCCAATTGGTTTATTCATCTTCCAGCCAAGATGGAGAAAAGGGACCAGATTAAGCTTTCTATCAGAAATAATCTAAATGCGGGGAGGGATGTGCTTAAGAAACTATTTTCAAGACATTAGCTATTAGGCAACAAAGAGCAGTGATTCTGAGATTTGGGAACAAAATTCCTTGAATTTCCAGGCTGTGGCACAGAGTGGGTAAAATGAGGCAGAACATGAAGACTCCCTTAGTTGAGAAGATGAGGATGAGAGTCCAGGGAGACTTAGGCAGCTGCAGTTCATAGGACAGAGTACTTGTCAGGAAAAGCGTCACATCAAGGAAAGAATCCTGGAGGGCTATAAAGGGACCTCCTCAAGTATTCAGCAGAGTACTAGTCAGTGAGTATGTGTGAGAAAATTCAGAGAGAATGGGAAAATAACCATGCAAAAGAATTTCCCTTTGGCTACAGAAAGGATTAGTGGCACTCACACTAGGTCACAATGCCATGCCAGTTCCCACAGACTGTAAAAACACGTAATTCACAGGGCATTGGGTTGAACATTCAGGAAGGCTTTGCGTCAGTAATGGAGAATAATTAACCCAGAGAGCATGCCAACAGACCCATTTAACACAACATAAAAGTGAGACCTGAAATAAACTATTTCCAAGTAATTTAGCATCCCCCAAAAAACATCCCCAGAAGATTTAGCCGAACAAAATTAACTAGCATCTAACAAAGTAAAATTTACAATGGCAGGCATCCAAAGATTATCAGAACTGCAAAGAGGCAGAAAAAGACATCTTTACACTAAAAAGATCAATCAACAGAAATCTGACACAGATGTTAGAATTAAGAGAAACATTAAAGTAGAAACACAGCTGAATTCTACATGTTCAACAAATTAAGCAGACATATGTAAGATATAAGACCCAAATCAGACTTCCAGAGATGAAAATTATAATATCCAAGATGAAAAGCACAGTGCATGAGACTGAAAGGTGATTAGACATTAAAAAAGATACTGAATTTAAAGGCATAGCAATAAAAACTATCCAAAACAAAACACACAGGAAAAAAAAATGGCAAAAGGAAAAAATATCAGCTAGTTGTAGAACCTTCAGGCAGCCTACTTTATTGGTAACTGGAGTCGCAAGGTAGGAGCGGGACAGAACAAATATTTGAAGGAATAAAGGTTGAAATTTAAACAAATGTGATGAAAACAATAACCACAGGTCCAAGATTCTCAATAAAGACTAACCAAAAGAAGCATGAAGAAAACTACACCAAGGTATATATCATGACCAAAAGGCTTAAAACCGATAATGAAAAGAAAACCTTAAGAGCAATCAAAGACATTATATAAACAAAGGACTAAAATAAGGATGACGGCAGATTTCAGATCAGAAATAATGTAAGCTAGAGAACAGTAGAAGGATATCTTGAAAGAACTGAAAGACAAAAGTCAAAATTTTATGATCAGCAAAAAAAACTTTTAAAACAAAAACCAAATATACCTAAGTGAACACATCCACACAAAAAAGTGCACAAAAATGTTTCCATGCAGCATTATTCATAACCCAAAAAGTGGAAACAACTCAAATGTCCCTCACAGGATGAATGAATAAAATGTAATATTTATTTATACTATTGTCCCCCACAGGAACACTATTCAGAAATTAGTAAAAGGAATGAAGTACTGATTCATACTGCCATGATGGCCCTTGAGAATATGTTAAAGGGGAAAAAGTTAGACACAGAATACCATATATTGTATGACTGTTTATGTAAAATATCTACAATTGGCAAATACATAAAGACTAAAAATAATCCGTGGTTGCCAGGGGTTGAAAAAGGGTTTGGGGAGGTGTGGGGGCTGACTGCTGTGATGTAAGGTCTGAAATTAAGATTCAATCAATTCACTCTTAATTCAATTACTATTGATATCCTTGATCCCTCATCCAGTGGAAAAGTCTCCCCATCCAGTTTAGTTCTATCAACTGTACCAGTGGCATTTTACCATAGTCATGGGAAGATGAAACTCTTAAAACATAAAAAAAATTATATAAAAATGGGCAAACATCTCAACACACATTTCTACAGACACAGTAGCTGATAAACATAAGAAATGATGCTCAATTATCACTAATACTCAGAAAAATGCAAATCAAAACCACAATGAATGACACTATCCACCTACTACAAAGGCTATAATAAAAAATACAGAAAATAACAAGTGTTGGAGAGGAGGCAGACACACTGGAAGCCTCATGTACTTCTATCACTATGGTAAAAGTTGCTAACTTCTTACATTTTAACTTCAATAAGTTAAAATATAAGTTTATCATATAATACAGTAATTTTCCTCCTAAAAGGAGGAAGGAGTCTATCCAAGAGAAAAGATAACTTAGGCTCATAAAAAACATATTCAGGAATTTCATAACATTAGCCAAAACATGGAAACAATAAATATTTCCACTAATTGGTGAATGGATAAACAAAATGTGGTGTATCTATATAATGGACTATTTGGCAATTGAAAGAAACAAACTAGGATACATTTGAAAACATTATCCTAGGGAACCCAGAATAAAACACTGTAGGTGGTATGATTCTAGTTCCACGAAATGTCTAGAATAGGCAACTTTTTAAAAACTGAAAGCAGAACAGTGACTGTCTGAGTGACCAGTAAGAGCATGACTAAGCGTAAACCAGCCATGAAGGAACAATGAACATTTTGTAGAACCTGCATTGTGGTGACTATACAATTATATACATTTCTAAAAATTGTGACACTGTGCCCTTACAATAGTGAATTTAGAAACTAGAAAGTAATAACCTAGATCAGCAAAGATGCAGGATACAAAATCAATACATAAAAAATAATTTAGGGCCTCCCAGGTGGCACAGCTGGCTGAACGCTGCGCTGTGAAGCTGTCCGCTGCCTCTGCAGTGCCAGTTCGATTCCCGGCCAGCCAGGGAGAGACCCACATGGCACGGCAAACCTCTCCTGCCTCGCCTGCTGCTCCCCTCATTAGTGTCTTTGGTCCGTCTGCCTGTTCTGCTCTCTGCTCTGTCTGGTGAATTCTCTCACCTTCCCGCACCTCTGACTTGTACCCCAGTTCTTGTATACATAAATCTTTAAAAAAATTAATTTATACCTATACAATAGCAATCAACAGGAAACTAAATTGAAAACATTATCCTAGGGAACCCTGAATAAAACACTGTAGGTGGTATGATTCTATTTCCACGAAATGTCTAGAATAGGCAATTTTATAAAAACTGAAAGCAAAACAGTGGTTGCCTGAGTGACCAGTAGTTTGTCTGCTGTAGGTAAGCTCAAAGGTTGTAGACATTTTATCGACCTAATATTGAGTTATATATCAAAGGGACTACCAATGTTTGAAAAGGGTCCAAGCAGGAGAATTTTTTTAAAGTTGTACAAGAGAGAGCAAGAAAAGAATTTTAGTGCAAGAGATCTGTGTCCCAGGCCTGTCTCTGCAACCATACAACTGCAACTTTGAACATGTCCTTTTACCTGGTTTCCAAAAAATGTGTTCCACACAGCACAAAGAATTCCACAGATATACATGGGTGATTTATATATAGGTGTAGAAAAAGTGGTGAAGTTTTGATTTCTCCATAGTGATTGTCTTAAGGACTTCTATGTGGATTTTCCTTATAGATTTTATTTGAAAGATTTCTTGGCTAAAACTTACTTGGAAACCGGGCCTCCCCGGTGGCGCAGCAGTTGAGCGCTGGGTTGCGAAGCTGCCCGCAGCCTCTGCAGCACCGGTTCAATCCCCGGCTGCTCCCCGGCCACCAGAGGGTCCCGCATGGTGCGCAGACCTCTCCTGCAGCCCGCTGCTCCCCTCAGCAGGGTACTTCGGTCCTTCTGCCTGCTCTGCTCCCCTCTCTGGCTCTGGTGAATTCTCTCACCCTCCCGCGCTTCTGACTGTACCCAGTGCTTGTATAAATAAATAAATAAATCTTTGAAAAAAAAGAAAAATGACTTGAAACTGTTTAAAAAAAAAAAACTTATTTGGAAACCACTAAATTTCGGTGCTTTTCATCTTTAACACAATAAAAATGTATTAATGCAAAACCATCTTATATCTGCTCATTTTCAGGCCTTTTTCTGCTTTTCCTGTCTAGTTGTTATTCTGTGAATCAGTGTCACTTGTCGGGGTCTTTTTGTGGGGTTTTTTTTTTGGTAATAAGGTTAAGATTATGAAGTGGTGGTCATGGTGATGGGGAGATGAAACAAAAATGGCAGAATATTGAAATCTGAAGCTGGCTGATAGAAATATTGTGCTTTAAACTGTCATTTTCATCTTATTTTTTTTCATCTTATTTTTTTTGGACATTTTCATTTTATTTTTTTTAAAACTACAGATACCAAAATTTTCAGACAAAAGGATGTGAGAACTGGTGAGAGTTCACTTCTGGCTGTCTTAGCATGGGCATGACAGAAAATGTTTTTAATTGCACACAATTTGGCTTACTACATTTCAGCTGCTGTAACAGAGATAACAGATTGAGTGGATTATTAACAGCAATTTCTCGGGCCTCCCTGATGGCGTAAGGGGTTAAAGCACGGCACTATGAAGTAATCCGCAGCCTCTGCAGCACAAGTTCGATCCCTGGCTGGCCAGGGAGCAACCCACATGGCCAGGAGCAACCTCTTCTGTCTCGCCCGCTGCTCCCCTCAGCAGTGTATTTCAGTTAGTCTGCCTGTTCTGTTCCCCACTCTATCTCTGGTGAATCCTCTCACCCCCCACACCTCTGGCCTGTACCCCAGCTCTTGTATGCATAAATAAATCTTTAAAAAAAACCAAACAGCAATTTCTCAGTTTTAGAGGGTGGGAAGTTCAAGATGGAGGTTTTCGCATATTTGTTGTCTCAGAGAGGGCCCAC